AGATCTCTCTATTTCTTTCATATTGCTTCTATCTAATTATGTCTTTGTTGTTGCCTTTTACTAATTTTTGAGTATCTCTTTTCATTCTCAAAAGGTTTTAGCTCATAGCTTCCATCCTTTTTCATTTCCCTCAGCATCTATATGAATGATCCAGCCAATACGTACGTTCATCTCATCTCTCAAGTGATCTCCTTCACTCTGCCTACCTACTCACTCTCATAGAAGCCCTGGATCTTGTCATCGTCCCCAAATCCCTCTCTCTTAAATCTCCTTTAGAGTCTCACAAGCCTTTCAAAGCCTTCTTACCAAACAACTAGTCATTCTCCTTATCTAGGAGCTTACACTGTTTTCTTATCCTTTTAAAATTTTACATTCCTAACTCAACCTTTAAAATACCCTCTCACAAGCAAGGGAAATGGTGAAATTTTCCAAAAAGAAATGTATTCTTTACTTGACTTATATAACTGTAAACCTTCTGAACATTCCTTTATAATAACAATTTATAATATTTACAAAAAATACCCTCTCACAAGCAGGCACCAGTGGCTCAAGCCTGTAATCCTAACTACTCAGGAGACTGAGATTTGAGGATCTGGTTCAAGGCCAGTCTGGGCAGAAAAATTTGTGAAACTCCTATCTTCAATTAACCAGCAAAATCAGGAAGTGGAAGTGTGGCTTAAGTGGTAGAGTGCCAGCTTTGAGGGAAAGAGAAAAAAAAAAACATAAACTGTAACATGAGACCCTGAGTTCAAGCCCCAGTAACTGCCCCCACACACACATAAATAAATATTATAAACTTCATTCGTTATGTCCTACTAAATACTCCCAACAACGAACCCTGTAGTTATTTAACACAACTCCCTCTGTGCTCTCTGAATACCGTTATTCAATAGTTTCACTGGAGTGGCTCTTGGTGCTTCCAACTCAGATTAAAATGAACTCAAACATCTCCCCTCCACTCCATGAACACCATAAAATCTACTCCCAGGAGAGACAAACTAATCCATCCCCAGAAGTGATGTCAGAATCTGCACAGTTGCTCAGATCAGCCATCTGGGATTCAGCCTTGACAGTTCCATCTCACTTCTCAGATGTGGTTAATTGCTAAGGAATCTTCCACAGAATATTCCAGTTCTCCTCAGCCATACTCCAAGATCATTATTTTTACCTTAGACCTCCTAACTGGATTTATTTTATCAATACTTACTCCCCATTCCCCACAGTTCAAAAATAAAGATAAATTTGATGATAGCATTGATTGTTTAAAATACCTTGAAAGTATATCATTGATAGGAAAGTCTAAAATCCTTCATTTGTCCTAAAAGTAATGTAAGTTTTAGTACTTCCATTTTACAAATGAGAGAAGTATGGTTTATAGTCATCTAATTGTCCAAGGTCATAGAGCAATTATTTATGTTACAAGGCCAGCAGACTTTTATCCCAAATTGGGACATCAGGGAGGCTTCTTTGAGGGGTGGAAATAAGGTAATATGAAGATTAATATCTATATGCCTTTTCTTTTATAAGTTCATGGCCCAATGTACATTTAAATGGACAACTGTATAAAATTATCTTAATATATTATGGTCATTGTTAGCTTTTGTTTTGAAATATTGAATACAAATATTCTTACAATGGGAAAAAAGGATAAATGTGTGACTTTTGTAAAATTTACTTATAGTCATACAATTTTACCTTTTCTCAGCAGAGAGTTCATTTGGAGCCAATGTATTAATATCTTTATCTTAAGCAATAAAAATAGGGTACATAAAATAAAGTTCTGACAAACACATAACTGGAATGTATTGAGATATGTTTTTGTAGTTTTCTGTTGTTTCTGAGTTTTCAGAGTAGCCTGGAATGTTCCAGTTGAGGTATGTAACCTCAATTGAGTCTCCCACAAGTTGTGAACTAAAAGTTTTCTTTGGCTTTCCTCCATATTTATTTCTTTTGTATTTTTTATTTTCTTGGTTGTTTTTTTTCACTTGCACAATTATTCTTTTCCCCAGTCTTAGTGTTTCTGTCTCAAAGCTGGCATTCTACCACTTAAACCACACTTCTACTTCCTGATTTTGCTGGTTAATTGAAGATACAAGTTTCACAAACTTTTCTTGCCCCTTACCTAACAACTAACAAATAGTTCCCACAGTGGCTCCTAGGTTGGACTTCTTAATATTACATGCTGGCTGCAACAACATTTAATTGTATACACTATTAATATGCACTAATAATTAAAGCACGTCCATTCTTTTTTTCCTTACAGTTTTACTCAGCTTTCCAGTATGACAGCTAATTTTCATTAGTTATTGTACATTAACTTCAGTGTAGAATTTTGGGAACAATGCTAGAAACAATTTTCCACCCTATTTTCTGTATAACATCTTCACCAATATTACATTGAATGTAGCATTCCATTATTTATGTCACACAAAAAAATAAGTATGTTACTATGCTTTTACTCACCTCCTTTGCTTCTTCCATCGAGATTCTTATGTGACTGTAGCATTCTTACCTCATTTTCATCTCTTCTACTCTTGGTAAAAAGTCTCTTAGGGGCTGGGAAGGTGGCTAAGTGGTTCAGTATTTGTCTTGCGTGCATGTGGCCCTGAGTTCAATTCCTCAGCGCCACATAAGCAGAAAAAGCCTGAAGTGGCACTGTGGCTCAGTGGCACTAGCCTTGAGCTGAAGAGCTTAAGGACAGTGCCCAAGCCCAGAGTTCAGGCCCCATGACTGGCAAAAGAAAAAAAAAGTCTCTTAAACCAAAAGGTAAGCTCAACTTACAGTCAAAAGAGGAGCTAAGCAATCAGCCTTTTTCTCCTAAGTAATAGTATATATATAAAGGTCCAGTGTTAGCCAGTTACACACCAGAAAATAATGTTGAACTGTGGTTACAGTGTTCCTGAATATACAGGTTCCAGGTTTATTTTCTCTGTACAAGCCCAATCCATTGTAAAGAAATCTAGTAAACAGAATGCTTAGAGGTTTCCAGCCATAACACAGAAGCTTCAGAACTGTTCTTAGAGCATTAGGAAGATAAGTTCCTACAAAAATTTTTGAGATGCTGGGTGCTAGTGGCTTACACCTGAAATCCTAGCTACTCTGGAGGTTGAGATCTGAGAATTGCGGTTCAAAGCCAGCCTGCAGGAAAGTCTGTGAGACTCATATCTAATTAACCCCAGTATCCTGGAAGTGGCCCTGTGACTCAAAGTGGTAGAGCACTAACCTTGAGCTGAAGAGCTCAGGGACAGCACCCAGGCCCAGAGTTCAAGCCCCACAACTAACCCCCCCACACAAAAAAAAAAGAAATTAGCTCTGTTATCTAATTTTTAGAAATATAGGAACTAAGGTTAGAAATCTTAGTTTCCTCAAATTAAGTGGACCTATAATTCAAATCCTTGGAAGATTCAAATGCCTAATGGAGCTAGGATTCGAGTCCTAATAGGTTTAATTCCAATATTTATGATTTTATCTTCTGTATTTCTTTGAGGAGAATCATTAATGTGTCAGATACCGGCTGATTCCCTCTTTCATCTGTGAATTATTCATTCATTCATTCACCGACTATTCTTTTTAACATTTTCTATATGTAATCTGCCACGTGCTTTGAAAATCCAAAGCTTAGCCAAATGGAAATCATTCCCTCAAAGAATGTTTCTACCATGGAAGATATACAGTGATAAGAGCTACAAAAACAGGTTTCCTTAAAAAAAATTCTAATGGCATTCAGAAAAGAAAGAGGGTTTTTCCATCTGGAGAGGTGAAAAGGTGCAGAGAAAGGTAGCATTTGAGTTGGTCCTAGACAGATGGGAAGGATTTAGGCATGGACAATGAGAAAGAAAGAGGAATATACCAGTATTTCAGGCTGAAAGAGAATATAGAAATCATGACCTAGAAAATTCTGCTATGGATAGCAAAAACAGAAAAGAAAAAAAAAAGAATTTCAAGAAGTGGTAGCTAAAAGTCCATACTGTGAACATGTTACTTACCAAAACTGAGAACTCCTGTCTCTGTTTCATCACACCATTAGGCATTTTTGTTTCTTCTCTTTTAGTCCATCTTGTATCTTTTCAATCTTGAATGTTCAAGTTACTTTTTCCAGATGAGAAACTTATTTCCACTTGAAGTTAGTTTGAACGTTAGTGTTTCATTGATGCTAGGAGAAGACATAAGACTGATGGACAAAAAAAGCAAGAACTCCATTGCTAATAGCACAGCAACAGCATAAATGTAGCTGCATTGGTTCTCAGTGCCCCAAGTAACACAAAGTTAGGCAGAAAGGCCATAGGAGTTACTATGCATTCAGTAGATGTTTGGCACTATTGAGGACTTTGGAACTTGGCAAGGGTAGCTCATTTATGGCAAGTGTATATACCTTCATATGTTTACTTGTTCATTCTCAACAATTTACAAAAGCTCTGCTTATCAGGAAAGTAGCTCTTAATTTGTCATTAATATTTTTATCCTAGCTTGTTTCTTTAAGTTCCTTTTTTATCATTTGAAAGTTTATTCCCCATTCACGTGTTTCTTTGAATATATAGAAATATGCTCCTTTTATAAAATAAAAACATGCCAGCTTTCTTTCCTCTTATGCTTTCACTTTGTTAGCCTTTGTCATTTTGGTTCTTTGGAACTTATGTAGTTAATAGTTGTTAAATTTGTTCCAATTATTTCTTTTTATAGAAAGTTGGTTGTTTTTATATATTGCTGTTGAGTGGATCTCTTTTCTGTTTTGAGATAGAGTTGAGCTAATAGTTCAGACTGACTTCAAACTCACAGTCCTCCTGTGAGTCCTAGCATTACAGGTATATACCACATGCACATCTTTAAGTAAGTCTTTTAAGGTATACAAAGTAAATATAACTTGAAAAAATCCTACCCCATTGTATTTTATAAGCAAATTTTTCTTTAAAAGCCTTAATATTAAAATGTTTGTGAAAATTTAATTTGCATTTCAACAAGTACAAGGCATAGTTGACATTTACAACTTTATTTTAATTTAGGTTCCTTGTAGTTTGGAATACTGGGATGAACTTCAGAAGGTTTTTGTTGCGTATCGAGAATTTAGTCTATCTGAAAGCAAAGTTTGTGATCTGCAGTTGCCAGATATCAATCTTGTAAATGATCAGAAGAAACTGGTATCCTCTGATCTTTGGCGAATTGTCTTGAACAATAATCAAAATGGAGCTGATGATCAAAGGTAACTCAGAAAAAAAATGAGAGAGGTGATAACATTGCATTAGAAAATAATTACCAAATAAATTTCTCTTACCAATTACCTATAGCTTGTCTGTCCAGTACCTGAATGTGCCTGAACTACAGAAGAGAACCAAGATTTTTCAGTTTCTATACTTGAAGTCCTGTGTTTTACTCATATTTCAGCCCTTTAAGTACTCACTTAGAAAGTCTTCCCTCAGGAGCTGGGGGTTTAGCCCAGTGAAAGGGTGCCTGCCTGGTGTGCACAAGGCCCTGGGTTCGGTCCTCAGCCCTGGGGGAAAAAAAGGGGAGAAAAAAAGCTACAGAAAGTCTTCCCTCAAATGTTTTAAAAGATACATAAAAGGAAAGCAAAACAAATCTATTATACTGAATCCAAAAATATAGAAATAGATTTATCTATACCTCAATAGACTCTGATATAGTAAATCATATATATAATGTAACCCTGGGACATTAAAAGTGAAGTCATCTTTTTGTCTTTAAAAAAGACAAAAGCGGGGCTGGGAAGGTGGCTCAGTGGTAGAGCACTTGCCTTGCATGTATGAGGCCCTGGGTTCAATTCCTCAGCACCACATAAGCAAAAAGAAAAAAGCCAGAAGTGGCGCTGTGGCGCAAGTGGTAGAGCGCTAGCCTTGAGCTGAAGAGCTGAGGGACAGTGCCCAGGCCTAGAGTTCAGGCCCCACGACTGGACCCCCCCCCAAAAAAAAAAGACAAAAGCCTTTGTCATAAAAAGTAAATCTCTTTTTTGTTTTTTCTATATAAATATATATACAACTACACATATTATCATCATAGTGTACAACTTTGTATTGGTTCCTACTTTATATTGCAAATAAATTAAAAGGCTAGAATTAGTGGAATATGTCTGCATCACAGCCAGACAACAAGCATAGGTAGGAGGATTACAGTGCAAGGCCAATCTTGGGCCAAAACAAAATAAACAATACCCTCCTTGAAAAAAATACAAATCAAAAAGGTCTGGTACAGCTGAAGTGGTAGAACTTCTGCCTAGCAAATGTGAGGCCCTGAGTTTAGCCCATAAAACTGCCAAATAAATTAAATAATAAAGAATTGATATATTAATTAAATCGCAGATGCTTTTTCTTGTGAAGTTATTGTTTATGAATTGTATATATTTATTGAAAACATTTGAAAAGTAAATAATACCGTCTGTAACCATATCACAGTGAAATAACTCCTGTTAACATTTTGGTCTAGCCTTAGAGTTCTTCAATGATAATTGGTATGTGCAAGAGTAGCAATGTGTTTATACTTTATCAACCCCATTTCAAGGCCATCTGGGCTCTTTAAAAATAATAATTGCCTTCCTAGTACACTATCTGGCAATATAATATTAGTGAAAATATGTTAGACCAGCAAGATCTTGATTGTTACCGTATTATAGTGATAAAAATAAAGAACATAGATTCTACAGGGATCGACAGATAGCCAGATTTTTTTCTACGTATAGGTTGTCTCATTAGAAATCAGGACATCTCAAAAAATAAAATAAAGTTGATTTTTTTCATCTGTAAGTTAGAAATCATTTCTTGATTTTAATTTTGGAAGAGTACATTTTCATCACTGAAAGAAGCATTCAGGACAAGGTTAATTCCTCTGTATCTGATATTTTTATCAAATTACTTTGTGATTGTCCTGTTTTTTTTTTAACCTTTTGATACCTTCACTTTTTATTTGGGCTGTTTTTTTTTTTTTTTTTTTTTTTTTTGTCGGTCGTGGGTCTTGAACTCTGGGCCTGGGCGCTGTCCCTCAGCTCTTCTCAAGGCAAGCGCTCTACCACTTGAGCTATAGCGCCACTTCCAACCTTCACTTTTTATTTTAATCACACTTATATAAAAATAGTGTTAAAAGGACAAGCAAGTTAAATGAAAACCCATGAAGTGTAATTTTCAGTGAGATCCTCATTCTTTGCATATACTGTAACTATAAAATAATTAATATTTTGGTGTATTCAGCATCTAATATTGATTAACTCATGGGAATTAGTGTTTGGACAATCAGAAGAAATAAAACAAAAGTGAAATGTTTATATTGATACTAAAAATACTGAATTTTTTAGCAGCAGAGACACATTGTGATTTGTGTTGGCCTTAATGAGACCCAATTGTTCAGAAGTCTTGTGAGGTGTATATGGAAGAAAATTGGGTTAGAAGTAAGTCAATATGACTAATGACTAAGGAATGTTTTGAAAGATTTTTTTTGTCAGCAATCTATATGGCATATTCAACATGAACTGAATTTAAGAAGAATATCAATGTGTGTGAATTTGTGTACACTTGATGATTAACTATACAGGGTTTTGAGTTCTAGCTTTAAAAGCTTTTAAAGAATGTCATTGTACTTACGTGATTTGGGGACATTTAGGTTATTGAACTTGTTTTATTTTTTTCCCCCATAGCTCTGCAAGTGAATCTGGTTCTCAAAGCACTTGTGATCAACTTGTTACTCCAACAGCCCTGGCCGCCTGTACTAGAGTTGACTCCTGTTCCTCCCCATGGTTTGTCCCATCTCTTTGCATGTCCTTTCAGTTCACGCACATGGAGTTCCACCTTTGCCATCACCTTGATCAACTAGGCACAGGTATTCCTTTTAGGGTATCATCGACTCAATACTATTTTCTTTTGTGTGTTCTCGGGACACTCTCTAGCAATTTTTACCAGCTAATTTATTTTCAGAAGGTTATGAAATGAGCAAAGTTATTCTGAAGTATCTGGTACAACTAGAGTACCCCTTTTAACTGTGTGTGTATGTGTGTGTGTGTGTGTTCACATGCATGGACACACTCACACAAACATGGATGCACAGATGCTACTACTTAAACTTGAACTCCAAGACTTGTGATCTCACTGGACTTTTTTACTCACAGCTGGTGCTCCACCACTTGAGCCCTACCTTCATTTCTACATTTTTACTGGTAAATTAGACATAAAAGTCTCATTTGTCTGCCAGGACTGATTTCAAACCGATTCTCAGATCTCAGCCTCCTGAGTAGCAAGGATTACAGGCATAAGCTACCGACACCCTACTCCCATTTAATTTCTGAATGAGCTTATGCACTATTTACCAATGGTATTTAAATGACATTTCCCCTGCTTCCTAGTGAGATGTTTTAAGAAAAGCTCAAAAAATGTAAGTTTATTATCTTTTTTAAAGAAGCACATGTTTTTGTTACATATATGATATTAGTGGCAAATAGACTCCAAAGTGTTTTGATATTGCTTGATTTCCTTAAATATATATTGAATCAATAATTTTAAATTATATAATTTTAAAGTTTACATATAATCAATGAATAATCTAAATAAATATTGAATATTATATAATATATATTGATTTCAATAAATATGAATGATAGGCATATTCTCAATTAATTTTAAAAAATCATATTTATGCAAGTTTAGATAGAAACATACCCAAAGTGGCCTTTTATAAATTTGCTAATGTTACTTGAATAACTATTTCTAAAGCATTACATTCTATACCAAACTTTGTTTAGTTAACAGATTTTGAATTTAGGTATTGAACTACACATAATGGAAAAAGAGAAAGAAATGCAGATTAAAACCAAGCATACTTACTGTTCAGTATCTTGCTTTTTCGGCAAAAATAGTGTTTAAACCTGCCTTTCTAACCTTTGCGTCATGTTGTTATTGTTGAAATTTTGTTGGTAGATGCAGATCTAGATAGTTGTTTCTTCTTTCTTCTGTAATTAAATATTTTTGTCTGTCAAAGTGAAAGTAACCTTTGGTCACTATACATGTAAAAGACCTGATTGAACAAAACAATTCAGTTGTAAATATCAAATAGCAACTCAAATATTTTAGTATCTTTACGAGAATGTTGAATTTATTAAATACTAAATATTAAAGTCAGTAACAAAAACAAATACATTTGTTTTCTCAACAGCTTCACCACAGTTTCTAAAGCCATTTATTTCTGATAAAAATGTGCCATCTGAACTAGAATATATGATCATTTCCTTCAGAGAACCACAGATGTATCTTCGACAGTGGAGTAGTAGTTCTGTCTGCCAGGAAATCCGGTTCTCAGCTCAAGTGGATTGTAAGCTTCTAGAGTGTAGAAATGTCACACTGCAAAGTGTGGTGAAACCTTTCAGCGTCTTTGGACAAATTGAGCTTTCCAGTGATGCAGTGAATAAGATGCTTGATTGTACCATGACAGTGGACTCGGTGTTTGTAAACTTTGGACAGCACGTAGTTCATTCTCTAAATACTGCTCTACAGGCTTGGCAACAGGTATGCACGCTCCAGAAAGTTTACAATTTGGATGTATGTGATCTTTTATTTGGTGCTATATATTACTACTAATTATAAGTTAAAAGACAAGCAAAAATGTAAAAGAATACAGACTTGATAGGGACCATAGTATGTGAGATCTTCCCTGTTTTGACAAAGTGATCTATATATTTTAAGAACTTTGGAGAACATAGGTTCTATATACATTCATTAGAGGTCATGCCCACATTTTTATGACTAATGTGGAAAATAACATATTCCCAGAAAAAAATTTCAAGTAACATTATTTTGCTAAAACTTCAACTTAACTATGTATTAAACTTAGTGTTTTTCTCAGAAATAAAGAACCTGTATGAGCCTTTCTGATAATAACCATTCCAGCTTTTTAACAACAAAAAGAAAAACAGTAACATGGAATCTGAGTGCACTATAGTCTTAATCTTCTCCTTTCCTCTCATTCTGCCTTTTCAGTTTACTAAAAAGCATTGCATAATGCATTTTAGGATCAGTTAGGAACTCTTGATTAATAATATTTTATTTGTACCTCATATGACAAAGTATTTTAATCAAAAAAGAGATGAAGTGTAAGTCTGTCCTAAATGGGAAAGCTGATATGACAAAATGTTTGGATGATGATAGATTCAGCAATTTAACAACAAATCAGAACTGCTTCTTTACTTACTTCAAATGTTCTATTGTATTTCCATCAGTTTGGCTGTTATTTGAGCTGAGACACTTATCCATGTTTTGTGCATGTTGCAGACCCATGTGTGTGGCTGGTCCCCAGACAGAATGGGTTTTCCTCCTACAGCGACCTTGTTTTGAGATGCGCAGCAGAGAATGGAGGAAGAGACTCTTATTTTTGTAACTTATAAATTTTTGTGGGAATAAGATAACAGACTTTGGGGGACTTTTATGAGAATAAAAATATTTTGTGGAAGTAGATTTTATAAAATAAATAATTTTTAAACAAGTTTTAGTTTTCTAACGTAAGAATTTTTATAAGAATCCAATTTTATGGAAATAAAATTTAATGTTTTTTATATGCATGAAGACCTATGCAAGACTAAGGAATTAATTACCTAACATGGTACTATAATAGCAAAAGGAAAGAAGATAACACATCTGTTTTATATTTTAAAAGTCTTTTTTAAGGGCATTCCATGGTTTTCTTGTTGCAAAGGACATGCGTAAAATAAGAGCTAGTGTGATCTAAATCTTTGCAGCTGGTTCAAATAGCAATGTGAAAAAAAAACCTCCATGGCTCCAATTTCTGTTTTTTTGTCATATTTTGAACAATGCATTTAATACAAAACAAACCTAGAAAATATAAAAGAGTCATTGATAGCGCATTTAAACCTAGGATATTTTTGTCTTGGTATCAGGGCCATTATAAGAGGACTCATATGTAACAACTACTGAAAAATGGCCTTCAAAAATATCAGTTTCCTTCGAGGGTAAAAAGAAAGTTCTTTTACACATAGCTATACATATAAATAAAATATAGTACATAAATATTTAAATGTTTTAAACCACATCACAGTGTGAGTGACTGACTGGCTAACACAGTGCCTTGAAGGAATATTTTGAGTTTTTTTTTAAGCATTGTATATTTGATTAAGTAGAGCCATATGTCACATAGCATATTGCTGACAGGTACATTCTATGAATAGTTGATTCTGATTTATACAGGGATTTGGCAATGTTAACATGAGCCACAAGAGGATATACTTCTGTAATTGTTGCTGTAATTTTCTTGTTTCCTCCCATGTCAAGGGTACTTGCCACCAAGTTTTAATGTGGTGTAGGCATCTAATCCTGTGTACTCTAAAGTAAATATGAAGTATACTACTTTGAAACTGTAACACATTTGATATTGAAATGGGCTGATAGAAGTTTATTAAGTTCACTACTTCTATCAGAATATAGTTTATCCTCTTTAGTCATTTTTACCCAGTATAGATAGATCAGATATTTGAGATATGAAATAATTTGGTGTTCCACCTTTGGATCATGTGTTCAAAATTAACGAATTTCTCATAAGTGATTGATTTCTCTAGCAGTAATTTTTTTTCTCTCTTATAAGTGATGACCATGGATTAGGTTTAAGGATCCAAAATGCCACTTCCAGTTAGGTTTATAATTCTATGTCATAGATTTATTTAAAATAACGTTTTAAAGGATTGTTTTATAAACCAAGGTTCTATTCATATGTCTTCCCTTATACGAAAACAGTATCTCTACTGATTTGCAAATGCCTATATTACATGCCATGAAATTGTAATATAAATAAGCCATCTTTTACCTACAGATTCTCAAAAGCATTCTGGGATTAAGTATACATTAACTATGTATGAGAGGTTTTTAAAAAAAATGAAATAAAACATTCCAAGAAGTATTAACGCTTATTAGCTATAATAAACTCCATAGATGAAGGAAGAATAGAGAAACAATTCCCTAAGGACTTTGAGTAATCTTTAGAAATATGTAAACAAATCCCTTGTGTCCTTCAATTTACATTTTTCTTAAAATGTTTATCATTTATTAAAAGTCAGTTTTTTAGATATAATAGAAGAAATAGAATTTTTAATACTCAATTCTCATCCAGTAACTTAACTTCTTTCTGGGTTGAGATTGATCCAAATTTATTATGAAAACTGAATTTTAATCTTACGATGGGTAACTTTTAACTACTTAAATCTCAGGAAATAATTGGAATCCTATCCTTTCCTTCACATTTGTACTCATAGATGGAAAGGAGAAAAAATGTTTATAAGGAGAACAGTTGATTATATAGTAGTAAATGGAAAAGTCACACCAAAAGTAATTATACACTATGATTTCAATTTGATTAAAAGTTTGTAGATATTTAGCAGACTTTAGTAACAGAAGATTCAGAAGAGAAAAACTACTTGAAGACAATTCATCAAAATGTTAATAGCAATTGCAATTAAATATAAAGTCAAAAATACTCTTCCTATATTTTCTAATTTTTGTATAGTAAACAAATATTGTTATTGTAATTTTTTTTTCATTTGACTGGGATTGAAGCTCAATGGTAAAGTGCTTGCTTGATATATACAAAGCCCTGGATTCAGTTCTCAGTACTATCAAAAACAATCTTCCTGGTTTTTATTTCCTAAGTGTTTGTTGAGTGCCAGAGATAAAAAAGTCTGATCCATACCTGTTGCAACAATCTAATGATACAGACTAACAATTAGTCTGAAGGGGAAATATCAAGTATCACTTGGGAAATAGCCTACAAAGGGAAAGAGGTTGAAAGAAAGAGGTCCTAGCAGTGGGATGCCACTAAAGGAAGCAGTTTGCCATTTTGGAGGAATTAAAAGATGTAGGATGTGTTGGAAGAGCTGAGGGTTTTCTCAGCAAATGGGGAGAGGATTTAAATATAGCCAGAGCTGTAGGCAGCAGCCAAGTCAGACTGGAATATCTGAAACCCAATAGCAAGCAAAATTCAAACTCACGGCTAATAAGAAAAAGCAGAGAGCACTATAGTAGACAGCAAGTAGTAATTGGTTATAAGCACTTTAGTCTCAGCCAGATTCTTTTTGGTGACTAGTTTAGCTGTCCAGCAAGGTTCAGCTGTTTAAGAGTTGAATTCAGCAGCAATGAATGGATGACAGAAAGAGGGCCTAGAACTCCTTGAGGGCTCTGGAAGAATGCATCCTGTCATGGCATCCTCACCAGGGAGCATTGCCTCCCACATCAGAGGCTTTTGGCATGTCGAAGACTGTATTCTGTTTCCAAAGATTACTCTGTTCCCTGATAAGATTCTAAGACTGGTCTCCATACTAATTGGATTCCAGTTACATCATTCATAATCTCTTTGGCTTCATACCTCTTAGTCTCATGAATTACTGTACTTCTGGGTTGTATCACCTTTTAATCTTCCTCCCTTCAAAAAGGTGACAAAATATAGTTTGGCCATCGATCTACAGTCAGGAAAGAGAGGCCATTTGTAGAATATTCATTGTATATGATCTCCCATTTTTTACAAACTGATTAGCCAAGTTATTTTTTCTGATATCTTGAAGTTGATAATTTATTCGACTATGCTTTCAGCATATCAACGTCATGTTTATTGTTTTTAGGCTGTAGCCTAATAAGACTAATAAAAATATAAGCCTAGAATTACTGTATTACTTCATTAGTATTTTGCTGTAATGGAGAGCCCATGAGGTTGAGAAAGAGTAATCCATACAGGAACATAATATTAATTTGCTGAGCCTTAGCTGATTTATTAAGGATGTTAACAAATTGATGACTATTAGCTGACACAGGTACTACTGTTTTTCAGCTAACACTATTCTTCTGGAAAACCATCTTGACTTAAACTTGCTCTTGAGTTGATCTGATTTGTGTGTTCAACCTCCTAACAATGAGGGAAAGTTATAGTTTTATTTTCATCTCTTCCTGAGACACACACACACACACACTCTCTCTCTCTCTCCCCCCCCCCTCTCTCTCTCTCCCCCCCCCTTAAGAGATCTGGGAATGTATTACCTAAATGATCCTTACTTTCTGTAGGGTACAAACTGTGGCTTTGGTAATTGGTCTTGATTGTTAAGTGTAGAGGGCCAGGAACATGGTAATTCTAGCCTCTTGTACTCTGTTCAAAACTTACTCTTCTCAGTACAGCATTCTTCAAGGCATGTTAATTCATTTTGAGAAATGTAAAAAGTTTGTGGGATCTCATTGTTCTTTTACTCTTCTGTGCATATGATTTATTTTGTTGGAGGATAAGTCAAAACATACTCTTGGAACATTTATGATCTCTTTAAGGTATTTTCATGTGATTATCCTGGAAGTATGAAATGCCTTGTATACCAGAGCTAATGACAACAGATCCTTTAGGGTTTCTGGGTTGTAACAATGGCCACTGGGCAGACAGCTGCCAAACATCTTGCAATTAATCTGATACACGTTGGCTTTCATGTTCTTTTTCTTTCAGAACAAATGCCCTGAGGTAGAGGAGTTGGTCTTCAGCCACTTTGTGATCTGTAATGACACACAGGAGACACTGCGGTTTGGCCAGGTGGATAGTGATGAAAATATTCTGCTGGCAAGTCTCCATAGTCACCAGTACAGCTGGCGCTCTCACAAATCCCCACAGGTATTTGAGAAACAGCCTTTCAAATTCAGCAATTGTTAAGGTTGGAATTCATTTATTCTGCATTTGTGTGCCCGTGTCCAGTTATTTTCCAGTGTTACCCTCCCAAGGAACCACACCATGTAGTTCCATCTGACAGAAACCCAGAGGTAGAGCCCAGTGCACCTGTGTTTTTCCTGAAGTGAGCAGTTCTTGCTGAGCCTCAGTCCTGGCACAGCAGTAAGTGGGGTGGTACAGATTAGACTCTAGAGCCAAAGCATGTAGGTCTGGATCCTGGCTTTGTGGAACCTAGCCTTTTTGTGCTCCAGTGTTTTTATATGAGAATGGGAATAAAAATAGTATCTGTTCCTCAGATTGTAAGGACTAAGTGAACTAATATGTATTAAGATACGTAGAGTAGTGCTTGGTATATATTAACAATTTTGTGTTGGGTACTGTTACTCATGTGTCCAGGATTTCTTCTATTTAGTTTTCCATACCAGGTATCTGCTAGGCATTGGAAAGGCAAAGACAGGAAAGTCTCAATCTGACTCTGCAGACAGCTCAGTCTGTGACTCAGTGAGCACAATGACAAACTATGCCAAAGGGAATACCAAGAAAAGACATACCAAAGGTTGTCTGTTTCCCAAGTAGTATAATACTATTTTGCTGTCATTTTACATGGAAATAATTAGAGAGGTGTTCCCTGCAGGGATAATATAAGGATAAATTAAATACAAAGATGTGGCCTTTAAATGAGTGAAAGAAATCCTAGAAAGTAGTTTCAAGAATAATGTATTTCTAAAACACTGGTTAATAAGGAAACTACTTTCTGCTTGTGATTAAAAGAAAGTCATTAGATTAGAGAGCAACTTTTCCATGTGGAAAAGTTTTCTACAGACCAGCTTCAGAACATGTTATATACCCTCAGGCTCCATTTTCCTTCTTCTCCTACCCAGCAGTGAGATGCTGGTTTCTTACTTGTTTTTTTCATCAAATTGCCACACTGCTGTTACAAAAGTTGAAAAAGTGCATACAATGTAATATTTCTTATTTAAATATATTTATTAAATTCAAATAATCCAATAAGACATTGAAACTACAAAAATCTTTTTAAATACAAATTCTTATGAAAGTTCCTTGTACAGTGTGATAGGGCCTTATTTTAGGGTGAATCATATGCTCTTATTTTTATTTTCCTCATGAAATTTTTCCATGTGATATAGTTTTTAAGTTGTTTGCCCTATACTTAAAAGAGGTTGTTTATTTAAAAAATAAGTTTCTTTTGTTATTTTTTCTAATTTTTCTAATAATTTTTTCTAATTGATTGCATACAGATATTTAGACCAAAATAAAAAGCCCACATATCTGTAGTCCCTGAAAAACTGGCTGCGTAACCCTATAGATGTTCTGAAGGTTTCCCACAGAAAGTAAAGATGAGAAAGCTTTACCCTTTATATAGTCATGTGGAGCTAGTAGAGCTCCTTGGACACTGGAACCACAAGGAAAGGCTGATCATGAGAACAGCCATTGTAGAGTTTCTGGGTGGGGAAGAGATGAATGGACAAGAAGAATACATGGAGCTGGGTGCCGGTGGCTCACGCCTGTAATCCTAGCTACTCAGGAGGCTGAGATCTGAGGATCTTGGTTCAAAGCCAGCCCAGGCAGGAAAGTCCATGAAACTCTTACCTCCAATAAACCACCAGAAAACCAGAAGTGGCGCTATGGCTCAAGTGGTAGAGCACTAACCTTGAGCTGAAGAGCTGAGGAACAGTGCTCAGGCCCAGAGTTCAAGCCCCATGACCAACAAAAAAAAAAAGAGAAGAATGCATGGCCACTGTCCTCACTATACCTTTCATATTTATACCTATTTGTACACTTCCAAGGCTTTTTTGTATGTATTACTAGTTTATTTTTACAACATCCCTACATAGTTTATTGTTATACATATTTAATAGATAAGTAGACTTTGCTTTAATTTTCTATGTAAGTAGTATTATTTTTCCACAGCATTATCTCACTCCCCTATTTTGGCAGTATGATTTGTCTATTAGAATAAATAACATAGCTGGAGGTTTTATGGAAGGGCTGAAAAATCTCTTATACATTAGACCATGTAAGTCTAAAGGTAGATTAATGTGGGATTCTTTATCTTCAGCTGCCTAATTCTTTGTCTTCAATGTCCTAACTGTATTAACAAATCTTTTAATGATAAATTGGAAAGATACCCAGGTATCTGTTAAGCATTTTTCTTTTCTTTTAAATTTGTAACATCATTCTCTTGGTGCAACTTTTATAGCCATAGTTGCTATAATCTTTGGTCTAAAACTTAGATCAGAGGTAGGATAATCAGGCCTCTTTACTGTATCTGTGTGTGCTAAAGTAACTGTGTTTTAAGACCCTCTGAAGCCAGAAGCCCTAATAGGCCCAGAGGGTCTTCACGGAATTTCTTACATCCACGATTGCAGATTCTATTGTGTCCTAATGGGAGGTTATAGCTGAGAGTCAAAAAACTAGCCACTTAGCTTCAAGCTGCACCTGGAGCTATTCATAGATAGACAAGTGAGCAAAACGTTCCTTTTTCCAGACTCTTAAGTCATATCCTGAATTACCCAGCAAGATTGGTTTTAGGAACATTTCTGTCTGCATGTTTATGCTACTTTGGGTGTTAGTCAATTCATAGTCTCAAGGAGGATTTCTAAAGTTCATAGAACTCCACTAAACAATGTAGCTTATATTGCAGAGATCACGAAAGTGTCAATGACACCTGGAAAAGTTTCAAAGTAGTCAGTATATCTTAGAACCACACAAGAGGTTGCTAACAACATTAAGTCCCAGGAAGAGGGGAAGAAACACATACACAACCAATTCTCGAAACCCAAAGCTGAGAAACCATTTAGAACTGAGAAGTCATAAACTCCCTATATTCTTTCTGACACATGCTTTGAAGCAAAATTACTTAAAATGCTGGATATTCCACAATAATTTCTTGCCTAAACAAACAAAGGAAGAAGAAAACTATTTCCTAGGGAATAACTGAATATGTTATGTTCAGCTGCACAAAATCACATATACCACCACAAAGGGCCTTTAAATACCTCAGTTCTCTAGCCTGGACAGGAAAGTCTGTGTGACTCTTATCCCCAGTTAGTCACAGAAAAAGCTGTAAGTGGCACTGTAGCTCAAGTGATGGAATGCTAATCTTGAACAAAAGGAGCTCAGGAACAAAAGTCCAGGCCCAGAATTCAAGCACCAGGAACTGGCAAAAATAAATAAATATCCCAGTTTTGTGGACTTCAGATCAGGATGTTGAATGACAGCAGTAACCAGTCAAAGGTTGGTCTTGAATGAAGTGTTTTACATTATGCAGTTGAATTTAGGGAAATACGAATTTATGGAATCTTTTCCAAGATGAACAGTATATGTAGCTCAGAGTAAAGAGAAGCTTTATATGATTTAGCCAAACCACATTCAGTGACACTTCCTCCAAACTAATAAGATTTGTGTATGAGCTGTTGAAGTTACATTCCTTTCCAGAAAATTAAACAACTGTGTGTGTGAGAGAGACACACACACAGAGACAGAGTACACATATGTGCTTGTGCATGCATATGTGTGTTAACCAATTCTGGGGCTTGACCTCCTCTACCACGTGAGCCACAGCTCCACTTGGGTTTTTAGTAATTAATTGGAGATAAGAGTCAAACAGACTTTTCTGCCCAGGCTGGCTTTGAACCATGGTTCTTAGCTCTCCGTCTCCTGAGAGGCTCCTAGAATTAAAGGCTTGAGCCATCAACTCCTGCTATACATCTCTTGGAATAGGAATGTCTATATATTTTATGTAAGACTTCACACTTGGTTTTTCTTAATCCTTGGCATGGACAATTTATGAATTACACAGTTTTTTTAGAATTAGAGAATTCTGGTTACCAGTAACTTAATTTTGGTATCTGTTAAAGGTGAATGATTTTATAGATGTAATTGAGTCCTAAATCAAATGATTTTAGTTAATCAAAGAAACAGAACATGAGATAAGGTCTCATTTAATCAATAAGATCCTTAAGAAAGGATTAGAACTTGTATGAATATAGATAGGCAAATATACTTGTGCTGACCTTGAAGCAAACTGTCAGGTCTGAATAGCCTGTGAGGCAGGTCATAGGGTGTGAACTGTAGGCACCTCCTGGACCTGAAGGTGACTTCAGGCACTAGTCAGCATAAAGCTAAGGCACTTACCATAAAGCAACAAAGAATAAATGTGCCAACAATCTGAGCAGGCTTAGAATTTTTTCCCAAGATGAGAACACAGCCGAGCCAACTTTGCAGTCTTGTAAGAACCTGAACCTTGCTTAGAGTCTTGACCCACAGAAGCCATGAAAGTAAATATATATTATTTTAAGCTACTAAATTTGCACTATTTTGTTATTCAATTTTGGACATACAATATAGCATGACAGAAGATATCACTAGAAATCATCCAGTGTGAAAAAGAAAGAAAAAAAAAGATTAAAATAATACGAATACCACCCCAGGGACATCTTGGAGATTTTAAAAATGTTCAACAGATGACTAATTGTAATTCCAGAATGAGAGGAGATCTGGAAAAGCAATTAAATAATTCCAGAAAATTTCCCAAATTTTATGCAAGATAGGAACTCATAAAACCAGATACCTCAGAAAAACTCCAAATGCGGTAAATTCAAAGAACTCACATCCAGGTATATTATAATCAACTACTAAAACCCAAATCAGAGAATATTTGTAAAGCAGCCAGAGGAAAACACTAGCCACAGAGAACAACAGTGGTATAAATTTCTTTCTATAAGGAGGACAAAACACTGTGGAATTTCATCTTTAAAGTGCTAGAGGAAAGTTAACGTTGGTAAAAGGTAAGGTAAGTGGAAATTTAGTAAAATAACCAAGATTTTATTCTGAAGCTTTAGGATTAGACGTGACAAGTTGGCAGTGTTGCTATCCCCAAGACAGCATTTTAGAGATGGAAGTACATTAGAATAATCCTTAAA